CGACTTCTCAAGATACATGTGGTCAATCTTGTTGAAAGAAAAGAGCGATGCATTCAGCAAGTTTAAAGCATTCAAGGAGTTAGTCGAGAAAGAACTAGAGAAGAGAGTCATGACGTTGAGAACAGACCGGGGAGGAGAGTTTACATCCTCAGAGTTCAATGAGTTCTGCAATTCAAACGGCATCAAAAGACACCTAACGGCTTCATACACACCTCAACAAAACGGTGTGGTGGAACGAAGAAACAGGACGTTAATGGAGATGACGAGAAGCACACTCAAGGCTATGAAGGTACCGAACTATCTGTGGGGAGAGGCGGTTCGACACTCCACATACCTAATTAATCGAGTACCTACAAGAGCTCTTGAGAACTCAACGCCATACGAAAGTTTGCGACTGAAGAAACCCAGTTTGAATCATCTAAGGGTCTTTGGTTGTTTAGCCTACGCAAAGATAGAAAATGCAATGCTCAAGAAGTTAGATGACAGGTTGCAAGCTTTAGTACACCTCGGTACGGAACCAGGAACAAAGGCCTATAGACTGTTCAATCCATCTACACGAAGAATTGTAGTAAGTCGAGATGTCGTGTTCGATGAGAAGACAGGTTGGAACTGGCAGAAACCATCCGAGATTACACGAGACCTTGGGAAGTTTCAGATGAGGTGGGGAGAAATCATTGATGAAGGAGAAGGACCAGTGGTGATCAACGACAATAATGATCATGATCTGGAAGATAATAACGAGCACAATGAACAAGATAATGGGGATCACATCGACGACGATGATCATGAAGAAGCTCCTCCACAGCAACCACTACGACAATCAACACGACAAGTAACCAGACCTCGATACCTAGATGACTACGTCTTATTAGCGGAGCTAGAGATCGAAAGGCTCTTACTGTCCATCAACGATGAACCAAGCTCTTACAAAGAAGCAAAAGGCTCATCAAAGTGGACAGGCGCATGTGGAGAGGAAATCGATTCTATCAACAAGAACAAGACCTGGTTCTTGGTTGATAAACCACTTGGAGCTAAAGTGATTGGACTCAAGTGGATTTTTAAAATAAAGAGGAATGCCGATGGTACTATCAAGAAGTTTAAAGCAAGGCTCGTGGCTAAAGGATATGTACAAGAATCAGGCATAGATTATGATGAAGTTTTCGCCCCAGTTGCAAGGCTAGAAACAATACGACTCTTAAGTGCTCTAGCAGCTTCACACGGATGGCAAGTTCATCATCTAGACGTAAAGACGGCGTTCTTATACGGTGAACTAAAAGGAGGACGTTTACGTAGAGCAACCCGAAGGCTTTGAAATTAAAGGCAAGGAGCATCAAGTCTATAAACTTTCAAAAGCTTTGTACGGTTTGAAACAAGCTCCGCGAGCTTGGAATACGAAGCTTGACCAAGTATTGAAGGGAATGAAGTTCAGTCGATGCACTAAAGAAAACGCAGTATACCGCAAGGAAGAAAAGGATACGATCCTTATCGTTGCAATATATGTGGACGACCTATTCATTACCGGAAACAACATCGATGCGATATGTGAGTTCAAGAGAGGGATGTCGTCAAAATTTGAGATGTCCGACTTAGGTAAACTCACATATTACCTTGGGATAGAAGTTCACCAAAGTGATGATGGAATTGAGCTTAAACAAGAAGCATACGCGACCAAGATATTGCAAGAAGTAGGCTTAGAAACTTGTAATCCAACGAAGATACCAATGGAGTTTGGTCTCAAAGTTTCAAAAGCTGAGGAAGAAGAAGCAATCGACGCAACTAGGTATAGAAGAAATGTAGGATGTCTGCGATATCTGCTACACACACGACCGGATTTGGCTTTCTCAGTCTCAGTAGCTAGTCGCTATATGCATCAGCCACGAAAGTCACACGGCGATCTTATGAAGCAGATAATGCGGTATATCAAAGGAACTTCTACATTCGGTTTGAAGTTCAAGAGAGAAGGAACGAAGAAGCTGATTGGCTATAGTGATAGCAGTCATAACATAGACCAAGACGATGGAAGAAGTACTACGGGTCACATGTTCTACTTCGGATCTTCACCAATTACTTGGTGTTCTCAGAAACAGGACACGGTAGCTCTCTCCTCCTGCGAAGCTGAGTTCATGGCCGCCACGGAAGCTGCACGACAGGCCATATGGCTACAAGATCTTCTAAGCGAGATTACAGGTTGGAAGACAGAGAGAGTCACCATAAAAATCGATAGCAAGTCAGCTATAGAGCTCACGAAGAATCCTGTATTTCACGGCAAGAGCAAGCACATCCACAAGCGCTATCATTTCATACGAGAATGTATCGAACGAGAGCTTGTCGACGTGGTGCACATACCAGGAACATCGCAAAAGGCCGACATTCTCACGAAAGCTTTGGCAAGGATAAAATTCACTGAGATGAGAAACTTGATAGGAGTTCAAGACTTGTCCAAGAATGATTCAAAGCTTAAGAGGGGGACTGTTGGGTAAGCTTTGGTTTACTTGGAGCTCAAGATATCCTTAACAAGTTGGTTAAAGGACAAGATAAGCACAAACATAAAGTCTAGTAGTATTAGGAGTTATCTATAACTATTAGAAATAGGAAATCTCTACTATATATATATTGATACCGAGATGTTGTATTAATATAACGATTGAGAGAAAGGTTGTCTTAGTTTTTGAGCTATATTTCTAAGACAAGATAATAAAGAGAGCAAGTTCTTTATACATGTTTGATCTTAATCGACTATACACATTGGCTCAAGCAGCTATCACCAGGATCTCTTACATACTGGGCTGACATCAAGAATGCGTTTCTGAGGCACGAGCTCAAGAACTATGGAGCATGATTGGTACATTCACACAGAAACCTAGAGAATCCTTCAAAGACTCTTGAATCAGATTTAAGTTCTTCGAGCGTGACTGCCCACACCATGAATTCAATGAAGTGCAGCTGCTCAGCACCTTCTTTAGAAGAATCTCTTTGAAGTATCAGATAGCTCTAGATAGAGCAACCGATGGAAGCTTTAACACCGGAAATTTAGAAGAAGCTGTGAGACTTATCGAGAATCTAGCAAACAACAACAGCATCAAGAACACTGATTCTGAAAGGAGGAAATCTGTAGCATTCCTTGGAAAGGAACAGCTGAATGAAGTAAAAGCTCAGTTAGACAATGTCAACCAGTTGCTTATGAGACATGTTTGTTCAACTGGAGATACAGAAGATATAGATTCGTAGTTAGCATATGTGAATTACATTGGAAAAACTGGATTTCAAAGGTCTGGAAATCAGTTTGGAAACATGAACTTCAGTGGTAATAGTCAGAGGAGTAACTTCAACCATAATCCACAATTTTAGAAACCCTACAACAGCTACAACAACAACAAAATATTTTTTTCATATCTGTAAGTAAATATATCTAATTATATAATACTAATTATTGTAAATTGTTATTAATTTATATAAAAATCATTGCACAATTGTAATAATTGTTATATACACCAAATCTAAAAATGAAAAACTGAAACGAAAAACTAATGTAACTAATCATCACATTACATGTATCTTCATGGCCCACTCATTTTGTATTTTGCGTGTGAATTCACTCTTTCACTAACTTTTCTCCTCACGATTCAACGCTTGTCTCTGCAAGATCCAGTCACTTGGTATTCAACAAATTCAAACATTTCAACTTGTATTAACACGTTGGTATTTTTTTGGAATTCAACAGTCTTATGTGAGGATTAAGCAGTTGACCTTTTGGTTCAACAACCTCATGAGTACGTTGCTCATGGTCTTATTAATTCCCAAATCGGTAGTTACTAAACCGGTTCGTTGGCTTCATTCAATCAATAAGGTTAACCGGTTCATGGTTTTGGTGCGTTTCGGTTGAATCTTTTAACTGTTTTAGCGGTAAAAAGAACCACATTGTTTAGTCGTTTCCTTCTTTGTAGTTCTTATCCAAGAATCTCTTATACGAGTGGAATCTTTCACAGCGTTTGTCCATGGCTTCCCCTGTTGGATCAATAACTTAAAGCCCATTGTTTTAAGATTTACTGCGAAAGTAATTGAATAGAATTGGGCCAATAAATGGCCTAACTTCTGTGTTAATGAAAGGAGTAGTGTAACAAAGTCCCACATCGGGCATTTTGTAGAGTGGTGAGCAATATATATATGTTCCCATGGCACCATGGGTTAAACAGCTCAGAGGAAGAGAGGACTCCCATGCGCGCCGCCGCCGTCCGGCTCGGCTTGGGCTTTATTGGAGGGCCATTGGTCCGATAAGAAGTTATCTTTTTGGACCAAATTAAACTCAACACTTTGCCATTTAAACTTCAAAAAACAGCATGCAATTTTATTTAAAACGACAAGTAGTTTGTCTAACAAATAAAAAAACGTCACGCTGTTTATTCCTGCCAGTATTTTAATAAAAACGAGAGAGCGAGTCTTAGGAGATAAGTTTTCGTAACTTAAACTTCCCGAGATCTTTGCCAAATCTCCACTAACGAGCACACGTTACGGGAAGTTGCTCCTCGTGTTCTCTTTAAATATCGTCTCTCCACTTTCTCCATTTTTAACTTTTTTTTACGCAAGAAAAAATCAGCAAATCTCCCAGAGTAAGTTTAGAGAGTGTTCGTAGAATTTTAGTTCGTTAGGTCGTTTCACGAGTGAAACGTGATTCGTGTGCCATGGTTGTATCCTGGGACTCGATATTCGTATAGTTTCGTCTCACTATGGAGCCAATATTAAGAGTTAAGGAAAGAGATTTATCTCGCCTCCATATCTTATATAATCGTCTATTTTCTTAACTCCGTCTTTCTTATATCGTTCATGTCGATCCGGTTTTCCGGTTTCTACGTCCCCAAGGCGCTCGTGGTCGTTGTCGTTGCTGCCACCGGAGATAATACAAGAAATCTTTTACAAGACTCCAGCGGAAGCTCTCGTCCGATCAAAACCAACATGCAAGAAATTGTACACTCTCATCACTCCAGCGGAAGCTCTCGTCTGCCATGGTTAACACACACATGGTTCACTGCGATGGATTCATGCTGGTTGCGTATAATATGTGGAAGTACAGAGACGACAGATCAAGAGACACCAACCTCGCACTTTGGAATCCTGTTTTGAAGAACCTCAGATGGATCGAGCCCTCACAAAGCATCATGAGCTCTGAATACCACGGGATTGGATATAAAAACAAGCCTAGCGATGGTTACAAGATCTTGAGGTTTACTAGTCGCCCTTGGGAGATTGAGCGTTATGAAGATGAACCAGAGGTTGAGAACTTGAGATTTATGAGTGCAAGACGAGTTCTTGGAGGACTCTTGATATCGAGCTTGATGTGGATGTGAATATCATACGTAACTATGTGGCTGTGATGGGTAACATGTATTGGGTTGCTTATCGGGATGAAGAAGAAACAGAGTTTATCTGGAGTTTCGATTTCTCTGATGAATCATTCAAGGAGATATGTTTCTGTCCTCCTTCTTATGATATTGGTCACTTATCGTCTTTCAATGGAGATAGCTTGTCTATGTTACAACAAGACTAAGTATCAAGAACCATTGAGGTTTGGGTTTCGAGCAAGTTGGGTGATGGTGATCATGTCTCGTTTAGCAAATATTTCAGTTGTTCCGGTCCTGATATCCCGGTGTTACGGGTCTAAGATGAGGCGGCTCCTCTTTTGATGTCTATTTTTTTTCAGAAAAAAGGGTCCATGTATAGCAAAGGTAGAGAACAAACTATATTAAAAGACGAGTAGTATCGTAGCCAAGACTGTTCGTAATGTGTGTCTACAAGAATATCTACAAACACTAAATAAATAACTCGGTCCCACACAAAATAGAGGAAAGAAACATAGAAACACGTTTAGTTACTAGTTACTACTATCAAAGTATAAGTATTCGTACTACAAGTACAGAAATAGGTGCGATTTATTATAAGATTTTAGTCTCTGTCTCTAGCTGTTAGGACGGTAAAAAGGACAGACATTAATATAGTCAAGAAAACAGTAGTAGCCAAAACATTCTTCCTCACTCTTTGGCTATCATCATTCTTGATGTGAGTTAAAGGATTCGGAATTCTCCAGCCAGAGGAGGAGGAGGAGCCAGTGCTGCCGTTCTTGATCCTGAACAAAGCGTAACTATTCATTGTTTGCTTTGATTCTTCCTTCATACCACACTCTAACCTCTGCTTACTCGATGATGCCTCGCTGAATATTGTCTCTTGTTGAGTCAGATAATTTGGACGATATGCTTGGTTTGCTTTTACTGCCTCCTCGTCTAGCTTTATTATATCATCGTTCAGAATCTCGGCGTAGCAATCATCGTTGCCGTCGTCCTGATACTGTTCTCCAAAGAAAGATATCAATTACAAATTAAACTTTATGATCAACTTTTCGAAAACATTTTTGATATAATAAGAATCTGACCTCAACAACGTTTGATGATTCTGTTATGTCACCATTTGATATCTGAAGCTCAGGTTCATCAACCAAGTAAGAATTCTTCTCCCTCTCTGAACCACCAGTTTGACCGACGTAGTCATCGTCTTGCACTAGACCATCCTCCAGTTGTCTCTGGCTCGAACTAGCTCGAAAATCAGCATTTTTCCTTAACCGGCACACCACTAACGCGTCCTGCAAAATCCCGGTTTAAACATTTCACACAACAAACAAAACTCCAAAAAGAAAATCAAAACGTTACCTGTGATGCACCATGGATACAATATTCATGCATAATCCACTCTGTTCTTTCACCCCGAGGAGCCCGACCGATATGAAAGACAAGTGTTCTCTTGGTTCCAACTATTTGGTTCCCTGATTTAACACTTCGCTCTTTACCCGTAGCTTTCCAATATCCTAGCTCTGTAGCTCGCCGGCTCTGTGACCCGTGTGGATATTTTCTTCCCCTTGCACAGAAGTAAAACCACTCGTTCTCCGATTTCAACTTGGATTCTCCTGTTTGGTATATTAGAGTTTTTGAGAACAGACTAATGAGAAAAAAACAAAGAATAAATGAGAGAACTTCAAGACAGGGTTTAGTTCTCGTCCAATAATATAGCAGCACATCATCACTTTTGTCTTTTATGATTTCATTACAATCTACCACGTATTAGAGTTACCGGTTTTAAACCGACTAGTTATGATTGGTTTGATGTTACACCAAAATAGTTTACATGAACATATCAATAACAACGAAACAGAGCTTTTTCTCATTCAACTAGACTAACATGGGGCACTATAAAAAAAAATTAAAATGGTAAACAAACCTGGTAAGTCCCATGGCTCGAACTTGTAAATCTCAACCTCACCGATCACGGCCACGGAGTTTTCATCGCCATCGATTTTACGACGGAGATAATAGGAGATGAGTTCGACATCTGTGGGAGAGAATCTGAACCCAGGGAACAAGGCAGATACAGCGATGGACATCTCAGCTTCTTTAGACATTTTCTTGATGTTTCCACAAGAACTCGAATAATGCTTTGCGTTTTTGGTTCAACATGGAGAGCAGAGGAGTATTAATGCGAGAGCGCAGCTGCTACTTTGCTTCGAGTCAAGGTTTGTGTTTTTGATATTTGGCGGTTTCGAAAGGAAAATGATGACGTATTGTATGGAGAGGACGAATAACTGAAGAGTGTAATGAGATTGTAAAGGACAAAAGTGATGATATGGTGGTATATTATTGGACGGGAACTAAACCCTGTCTTGAAGTTCTCTCATTTATTCTTTGTTTTTTTCTCAGTCCGCATTTTAATAAAGCATTTCAATTACCGTGTAAAACAAAATGTGCTTATTCCTCCTTTTTATGTTATCATTTTTCTTTTTGAATAAGATAGGAAAAGTTTTTGCTATAAATATTGACCTTTTCACTGTTTCTTATGTTACAAATTATGAATGCTTTTCTAAAAGGACCTTTGTCTTTAAATTGTTATTTAAGAAAAGTACAAGATAAAAACACATGAAAAACTTTAAAACACACAAATACACCAGTAAGCTTTGATAAAGGAAAGGCAACATCACCAAGAAAAACGAATGTCTCAAAATTATATTCTTAAAGTGGAAGTGTTTGATGTATGGATAATAGACCTTCAAGTGACATTTCTCATATTTTTTAGAAAACAAAACTGTGGATCCAATTGTATTGAAGTCATAGCAAACCTTAGAAATGATGCAAATATAGTTCTCAAAATGTTTAAGAGCATCATCTTCCTTAGATTCAGTGTATCAATAGTTGTGATTAGTGATGGAAAACTCATTTCATTAACAAAGTCTTTGAAAACTTATTAAGAAAGAACATAGTGAAGCTTAAAGTGACAACACCTTAAAATCCTTAAACTCATGGACAAAGAGATCAAAATTATCTTGAAAAAAATAGTAGGTACTACAAGAAAGGATTAGGCAGGCGAGTAATGTCATCGTATAAACTTTTGTTTTCTTTTTTATAACTATTTTAAAGCTTAGACACATCTTTTAAAAATTTGTTTTTTTATAATAAAAAAATATGCAGTTAGATGTTTCCAAATTTTTTGATGCCATAACCCATAAGCGAATGTTTATATATATTTTTTACATAGTGGCATGGTTCTATTAAAGAATATTACTGTTTTGGATCAAATCTTCTGCCATATTTAAAATCCTATGAATCAGAACCGTTTCTAAAGGTGTGCACAAGGTGTTTTAACCCTAGGTCTAAATTTTTTTAAAGGCAATTTTAGTTATAGTTAGAAAGAGATCCGCGCCAAACGTGGTTATTCTTACTTTTATAGTGGTTAATATTTCATGTATGTGATAAATTGATTAAATATGTACTTGAATGCTATATCTTGTGTTAAATTCACGTAGATTATTAATATTGGATATTATACATCTTTAAATATATATCGTATCTTGGTATTAGTTGCTAGTGAATAATGTTTGCATACAAAAATTTTAGCCTATTGTGTCAGTCATTTTCTAACTAGATTATTTTATTTAAATTGGATTTTTAAACAAAATAATAAGTACAATATATAAAATGTTTAAAGATCATGAATTACTTAATTTACATATAACAAAGTTCAAAATTCCAAATATGTTTTCATTTATAAATTTGACTATAACACGTTAGATTTTAATATCATTTTTATTTTTTAATTACATTAATTGTAATGTAAATCTAGTATTTGAAATTATAAATGAAACATATTGTCTACTATTTATATTATATATAATTAAATGAAATTTTTAGAGAATATTTTGAAACTATATTATTTCATAAGTATTGTTTAGATGTTTATATAGTTTACATTACGTCTGTAAATCTAAGATTACAAAACGATATGTTTATATTGTTAGTATAGATAAATGTTTCAGCTTCAAATCTTCGTATATGGGGTCACATTTACATTTGTATATGCACAGCATTATTCTATAAAATGTTTATATTCTTCATATAGGTAATATAATTTGTGAATGTTAAGGAAAATTTTGGTATATGAAAAAATGTACCAAATCAGTAATGAAATAATGTGATACAGTATGAGAAATGCATAGTTAGAGTAAGTAGGTGTAGCTGAAATAATGTCCTAACAATGAATGGTCATCACATATCGTATGGTTTTATTGGACCATTTGGTTAGAATCAGTTATTATCAAACTTTAAGTATCTCGTTTTCAAATCACAATATATTCCAAAACTAATATTATCTAAATATTAAATAATATCTTTGGTGAATTTTGCTTGTTACTAATATTCTTAAATATATATTAATGAACTGGTCCATTAATTTTATATAGTAGATAAAAATAGGACTGTAAATTAATAGATTAAATAAAAGATCTATTTTTCAGATTTAGGATATTTTCAAATTATTTTATATTGTTCTTGTAAAGAAAAAATATGCACAAGACCTTCTAAAGAACGAGAATCACTATAATGTTTTTTTTGTAACTACGTCAAAAATCACTATAGTTAGTTGTTATAAGAGTACATCCAACAATAAAATTTTAGCTTAAAGTATCTAAAATAATAATAATATAAAATTTTAAAAGAAAAAGAGACAAAAACTGTCAAAAGAGAGTATATCAAATCAAACCATACTGCTATAATACTTTGTGTCCACGTATCTATTTTTGGTTTATGTCATTTTAAAATTAAAACTTAGTGCAAATAGAACAATATTTTGTACATAATTATCACAAATGGGTTTCTCCCGTTAAGATTCGCTTTAAGAACCCAATTTATACATATCTTTGCTTCTGTTAGTCTGTTTTCGTCTTAATAAATTCACAAGAATGCAAGGTATTTCCTTGACCACCGATTTTCTTTGGCCGCCAAATTCCTTCGTTGTTTAATTTTTGGGACCGCAATTATTCTTCAAGTCACCTTCCTTGTCATTCACGGTTTATTTATTTGATATTCCACTTTATCAACTATTTTATAATAAGTCATTCGTATATCACTCTTCTATAATCAAACATCTTTGTATATTCTCATTTATTTCTTATTACGAAAAAAGAACATTGATGATCAAAAAATAAGCGTGCGTGTCCTGTATCTCCTGTTTTTTTTTTCTTGAGTCATGTATCCCTAAATGTTGTGTTTCACCCTTTTAACATTTTACCTTAACAAAAATAGGACTCCACAAAAGCACAAACATAGAGAAGCCAAAGATCATAAAGGTAGTATATGTCTCTTCTATAATCAAACATCTTTGTCTATTCTCATATATTTCTTATTAAGAAAAAAAAAAGAACAATGATGATCAAAAAAGAAGCGTCCGTGTGTGTCCTGTATCTGTTATGTTGTGTTTCACCCTTTTTTTAACATTTTACCTTAACAAAATGAAACTCCACAAAAGCACAAACATAGAGAAGCCAAAGATCATAAAAATCGTGTCTTGAACTCTCTCTCTCCTCTCTTTCTTCTCTCTCCACTGTGTTTTCATGTTCACGTATTCCTCATACCTTTCTTTACCTCTCCTCTCTTCACCATCACCATCTTTACAACATCTCTTCCCTACCAACAAACCTTGTAATATTACCAAACTATCCCTCCCTTTCAGACATTTCCCTTCAATGTCCTCAACTTGCAACCTCACGTCCCTCACGTGCACCTCTCCTCCCACTTCCTCGTCCACCTCCTTCCACGTCTCTGCCGATCCACACGACACAACCGCCGCAACCTCCGCCGCCTTCTCCTTTCCCGCCGCCACCACCGTCGAAAATCTTATCTCCAAGTCTCCATTTATCCAGTTCCGCTTTGCTGAAACCGCCTCTCTGCTCGATACGTTCGCCGCACGTTTCTTAACCGGATCAATAACGATCCAGTTTAGCTTCATGCCCTGCTCCATATCTCTCACCCACGCCTCGTAATCCCCACCCGGATACCGAATCCGGGTCTTAACCGACTCTCTCGGGTCGAGCATATCGACTCTAAACGGGGTCGACAAGAACCATCCTGCTTTACCACTCTCTTTTTCAATCTCTTGAACCTTGGAGTAGATTAACTCTCCTCGGTAATAAAGGTCAACGGCTGAGATTAATCCAGTGGTTGGTGGATCGTCTCTTCCTGACTGCCACGTGTATTCAGTGAACGGGTACGAGTCAGCGAAGAAGGAACGGTAGCCGGAAGGGAAGGAGGAGATGGCTTGAGCGGCACGTGAGTCTTTTATTGAGGGCCATGTGACGGTGGAGAGTTCTTGCCAGAGTCTCTGTTCCGTGCAGAGGGTTTGGAGATAGGAGGAGGTTGATGCCGTGGAGGCAAGGGTCGGACCGTCGAGTCTGGTCAAGATTTGGGTTTGGATGATGTCAGGATGAAGTGTTGAGACTGAATCAACATTGCTATAATCAACGGATGGCATTTAGGAGTGGAGGGGAGAGGGAATTTTATATTTTTTTGTTTTGGTTTTGAGTGAGAATAAATTATAACGAGGTGACTGGAATTATGAAGAGGTATATATTATGAATGAATCAATGATACAAAGAGAATGATTAAAGAAGGCTATGGTTCATTCAACCGTTGATCTTTTAGACTATTCTAAGGTGCATGATTCTTCTTAATTTATTTTTATAGTTTCTAATTCCATAGATACACACGCTCCATTTCTTCTTTTCCTCCACGTCTCTTTTCAACATCTACACTGATTTTCTTAAATGTACTATTGGATTGTATCGAATGAAAAGGTTCTTTTCAGAAAAGAAAAATACATGCGCTGATTATAATAGATCATTATCCAAACTATACGATATTTGAAAACATTAGATCTTAGTTACTGATACTTAAAATTATTCGGCTATATAGATTTCAAATTTTTAAATATTTTAACATTTGGAGTTAAAGAAAAAACAGAACTTCTAAGAAAATAAAATAAAACTTAATATCGGATTTAAAATCAGGATAATAATTAATAATTAAATCCTTAATTGATTATCATTGTTTGTGAGGTTTCTCTTACTGAAATAATTAGATGCATAGTCTCCGTGCAAGCGCGGAGTTTGGATACGTTGTTGATGCGTTGTGTAGTTTTGTGTATAAGACTTTGTTGTTTTTTTTTAACATTTGTTTATCTGATTTATCTATAATAGTGATGAATGAAACATTAGAAGTCACACAACTTGATTAGTCTGATAAGAGAATAAACATCAAATTCATGTGGGTTGATATTTTCATATTTTAGCTTCGTAGTGATTTTATCGAGCATTTCCTTTATTAGTGCTTTCATGTAAAAAAAATAATTTAATGGAGACAAGACAAAAAAGAACATGTGTTTATTAGTGTAATTTTCTTTATGAAATTATGTTATATATATATATATTTTAAATTGTGATGTATATAAGATTTATGGTCAATCTGAATGGTTCGGGGTAAATATTTATCCTTTATTAGTGCTTTCATGTAAAAAAAATAATTTAATGGAGACAAGACAAAAAAGAACATGTGTTTATTAGTGTAATTTTCTTTATGAAATTATGTTATATATATATATATTTTAAATTGTGATGTATATAAGATTTATGGTCGATCTGAATGGTTCGGGGTAAATATTTATTATTGAAAAATATGTTTTTATTTTATTTGGTGATTATAACTGAATTATGATATTAGAGGTTAGAACATAATAACCTTTCTTATAAAAGTATCTAAGATGGTCTCATAAAGTTTTAAATCCTTAAGTCATTTTATAACCCAACAACCAGCATAAAAAAAATCATTCTAAATCTCCTTAAGAGCATCTCCAACCCAAGACCTCATTTTAAGGGGAGTAAAACCTCAAAATGAGGATTTGAGGGTTGATTTCTCCAACCATAATACCTCAAAAAATCCTTAAAAGTTTATATTATTTGCATTATAGTCCTTGATATTAATAAAAACTATGAATAATGACAATATTTCACAAATGCATATAAAATATACAATTAATATATTATAAAACACATAATATTAAAATATTATATGATAAAATAATATAAATTACATATGTAATAAAATAACATACACCCAGAATTTTTTATAAAGTTACATATAATATACCACTTGTAAGATATGCAATACTTAAATGTTTCTATAATTTACTTTAATTTATGTTAAGTTTGTTTAATTTTTATTTTATTTTTATGAGTTATATTTAATGTATGTTTATATTTGTGTAAATTTACTTTTAATTTTATGTATTATTTATTATATTTTATTTTATTTTGGTATATTTAAGTTATCTAAATAAAGTTATTAGATGTATTTGTGAAAGAAAATAATTGTAAGGACTAAAAAAAAAATGAATAGTATTTTTGAGGTTTTGAACAGTGAAACCTCAAATTTGAGGTGTCACTATTCAAAACCTCAAAATTTGAGGATTTGAGGTTCGGTTGGAATGACAAAAACCTCAAAATTTGAGGATTTGAGGTTGGGTTGGAGATGCTCTAAGCTTTTAGGTATCCCTAAAAACCCAAATGGAAAAAAAAATTACATGCAAGCACAAACTTAAACCACTCGGCCAAATCTTTAATCATTGATAACATTCAATCTTAAAAAATTTTATACGTTCTTTTTCCCCTAATAACACAGGCGTGGGATTCGCAAGTTTGCTGACGTAGACAGTCTTAGGAGCTTCAAAAGTGAATCATTATTATATAGATTTCGATGTATTTTAATTTAATAATTGTTTTTAAATTCTAGCCCAACTTGACTTTCTTTTGGTCCCTTTTGAATTAAATATTGGGTGTCCATTGTCTGCTATCGAAGAAAAAATTATCTTAGCAGAGAAAACGTAATCTCACGAATTTCATATTTTCCACGTTACTTATGTTGACTTTTCAAGCTTATGGCTTTTCTATTAAACCACTTTTTCATATGGCCGGTTAAAGGCTTTTTGACCAAATAACTCATGTCAAAGGATAAAGTGAAAGACCAAATAACTTTTTGCCGCAGTCAGAAGTGGTGGTCGAACAGATTTGTGGATCTTTCTATACACAATATTTTGACAAAATAACTGAATCCAAACATCTTAACGAATTAACTCGAAAAACTGAACCTGAATCAAACTTAATTCAAGATATATGCAGAATAGATCTTTGTTAGAATTAAGTTACATCTTTGGCAAGATTCATTAAGTAAACTAGTTTCGACTCATTTAATTAAGAGAAGATTAAAAAAAATTACGTCAACTTTGAAAAAAAAAAGAAATTGATTTTAAATAAAGAAGACAAAATTTTAACAGATTACAAACACGCAAAAGTCAATATAAAGATTAAAATTTTCACATTTTTGTGAATTCTTAACTTCTATGAAGTTTTAATTATTTTTTTGTAGTCAAAATTTTCATCTCAAGAACCTTAAACTACAAAAAGACAATTGTCCAGAACGAACACAAATAATCTTTATAACTTAGACAATCGTTCTATGAAATTCAATACATGACATCCCAAAAATTCATCGAGTAACAATTTCAACTTCTGAGATAGAGCATGTTCTTGTTGCAATTCAAAAAACTCAATTCACGAAGAAAGCACCAACATCCAAGTTTGATATTCATATAAGCTAAACGTCTCGTCTTTCTTAGGAAAATCTAATCCGAGTGATCATATGAATGTGTTTAACATAACCATGAAATGAATACACCCGCCGAAGAAATAAATGCAGGATATTGTCAATTATTCATGGCAAGTCTTAACAGACCGACATTTATGTGGTTCTCAAGTATCAAGGAGAACTTTATCAATAGTTTTCACGATCGGTTAACTGAGCTCTTAAAACATTAATCGATCTTCATTCTGCAAGTAGCTTCAACAACTGACCTATGGAAGATGATGCAAGGGGCAAAGGAATGGCTCGTGGGCTTTATAGAACGATTCAAAAGGGTGATTTTTAAAGTACATGTTCCATATGACACAAAATGGAAGCACTATGCAACACACTATGGTACAATTGATCTTCAGAACCTATTTGTACACCAACAACATCACGTTGGAAGACACTCTCCATCACGCCAAATACTTTACCATTATAGAGGAAAAATAAAAACTCTTCCATGATCAAGCATAACACGATGAAGGTCTTAGTTGCCGCAAAAGCGGCAGATGCTTACCAAGAACCTTAACAACATTCATCTTATGATAAACAAGATTAGCTGAAGCCAAATTTTTATTGTTGCTGAAACTGAACTTGTCGATTCAGCTGCAATCACACCAAACAGACCTTAGATTGTTTGGGATAAGATAGACAGATCAACTCTTCTATAACGAGAATAAATACTACAACTATCACAAGCAAAAAAGTGTGACACTAATAAGTGCAAGCAACTCCACAATGCCCTCTTGTTGGTATTCAATGAGGAAACAATGACACCTGAACCTTCAAACCAGAAGACCCCCAAAAGTAAAAAAAAAATCTAGAGAAAAAAAAACATAAATCTCCGCATATGTCTCATAACCAGTCTCAGGTTAACATCCAAAGAATCAAAACGCATCTGCCCCATCTCGGTAGCTTGAAGATCCTAAAACCAATGAATAGAAATCATGTATCACCCGTCGTATCAAAATGATTGGTGAAGGATCATCTTCCTTATCTGACATAGAATCATAAAGTCAAGACTTACATGACGACCTCAAAACGAAACACTAACAGCTAAGGGGACAAGATAACTTCATCCATATGTGATCTAAAATCGTCAACACAAGGGCAAGTTGACTCAGTACCAACAATATTTTTTGAAAGTTAGAACGAACGATTGAACACTTCTCTTAGGTAGATTTGCAAAGAAGAATAACCACTCAAAACCTGAAAATTACAGGGAGATGTTTAAAATAACTAAAACAAAGTCATAACACACCTCATTGTCTTCATAAGAATCAAATTAACCATGAGAGGATTGACAAAAGGAAAAAAATGTGTGGGTCAGTCAAAGAGTACCAAAGGAGAGTGGTAATAGAAAGAAAATGGTCTATTAAGCCAGAGGACGACATTCAAATCACCTTTTCGAAAACTCATGCCACCAACATTAACATAACACATAACGATCCACTAATCATGGAAATCCAAATCATAAATTGTGAGGTGACCCGGTCGCTTTAATTTTTCAAGGAAACACTGATTAAATTAAAAGGAAACCTGAACTCTTTTGCTTCTTCTGTTGCTTTTTCTAAAGTGTTGTAATCAGATTCCATAGTAGATCGGGCCAATAAAGTTTATTTGAAAGATTTCCAAGATATTTTTGCACCTTCAAGCATAAAAAATATACCCACTTATGAATTTTAAGTTCTTTGAGTCTGATATCCAATTTGCATCATTGTATCCTTCCATAGCTTTAGATGTGTCGCAAATAATTTAATACCCCTGTAATGATTTTTCAGTATGTATGATGTATATTACTCGTGTTGCAACTTAATACTTTGACCGCATGTGCCGAACGGGTCTTGTATAATTAGTTAACCATATCAGACTTCTAAATACTCGTGCATGCTCCACTTGTGACACTGACTCACCTATGTTCTTTGTCAAGTGTAATATAGTGTCAACATGAGTTTTTCCAATTCCACTAGAGCAAGTCTTAAACCTCTCGAGTTTCTTTCAGCATAATGTTTCTGAGATAAAGTTCCCATCAAA